CGTTCGGCAATAAGTGTTTCTAGAACTTTTCTTATGACGGGCAGCAGGTTTATTGGCCGAAATGCAAAAGGATCTTCGGGGTTCCTATCCTTCTTCTCGAAAAGTATTATTTGTCCTTTCTTTCATGTTATCGGGAAAGGTCGATAATTCTAAGCATTTATTGAAGAAATCAAGGATTCTTGTTTCATAATTGTCTATAATTTTTAGAATTTTGTTGTTTATAGAGTCGGGGCCAGGGGTTTTCTTATTGTTGAGGTGCTTGATAATATTATTAATTTCTCGAAAGTAAAGGGGCAGTATTGTGGGCCATTCTGTGAGACACTGGAAAATTTAATCTCTCTCTGCTCGGGCGTGTCATCTCCCGAATTGTCATCCATGAAAATAGCTTCGAGGTTTTTGGTTGCTGCTTCTTGCGATTATGAAGGAAGCACCAAACAGCACGAAACTTAGATCATGTGTATATGGAATATGCAAATGATTACGATTTCAGCGCACGCGCACATCATCGGTAATTTCAGTATTCCTTACAATCTGTTTAAAGATAGGAAGGACTATTATTTAGAATAACTTGAAATTGTTCTCTCGTGAGATTTTTGGTGTGAACAGCTTTATGCCTCGTAGCAAAACACAAGTACCATTCGAGCACGTTCCTCAGTTCTGCTGAGGTAGAATCGTTGCATACAGAGATTGCGGATTATCTTTCTGGTAAATCAGTCATCGTGTCAGACGTAACAAAGGAACAATCAAGAGAATATTTAATCGGTGGATGCAAGACGGAATGAATGACACACAGAAGCAAATGTAACTGCCTCATCACACGACTCCACGGGAAGACAGGCATACTGTGCCCATGGTACTGATGGAAGCGCACAGCCACATCTGTAGCCATGTCACAAGGAACAAGATTTGTAGCACAACAATCGGTGTCTGCAAGAACAATTCGACATCAGTTACAGAACAATGGACTGTTCGCTATGCATCCGTTGCTTCACTTACCTTTAACTTTAAACCACACATGTTTGCGTTTACAACAGGCTGAATGCTCTGAACAGCAGAGATGGACATCCGAATGGCATGACATTGTGTTTTCGGATGAATCACGCTTCTGCCTGCAGTACCATGATGGTTCGGATTAGAGTTTAGAGACACTGTGGGAAAGCTGCTCAACTGTTGTGTTATGCATTTTTATACTGGTCCTGCACTTGGTGTGGATACCACTCCTGGACTCTAGTACACATTATTGGTATATTTATCAGCCAACATTATATCTCTGAGGCTTTGCAACATGATCTCCTTCAAGACTAGCCTGTGGCCACATTTCAGCAGAACAATGCGTGACCACACGTTGCATGCAATGTTTAAGCTTCCTTCTTACCCCTTCGTATTTCACTGTTATCATGGCTGCCCGTTCTCCAGATCATCGCCCATCAAACATGCCTGGTCGATGATTGAAGAATTGCCTAGCACGGCATGCCTCACTCGCGGGTTCATCAGATGAACTTTGGGTACACCCCAACAACACATCCAAAGCCTCTTTCACTCAGCATGCAACAGCGGTTACTCACAAAAGTAGAGGCAACACCCATTACTGATTTTCTTGCCTTTCTCACCTCAAACTGTATTTCAAATCAATTATATGTGTAATCTCTGAAATAAATTTGGCTTTGATATCTTTTGTGCTTCTTCATGTTGCATTTTGGATGGCCAACAATGTAAAACAATTAATTACTAACTACAAATCTGTATTTTTTATGTTGCAGTACCCAAGAAGGTATGTATACCAAGCTCAGCCAGTGGTCATTTGCATATGCTATGAAAATCATTGCATTTGTGAAGAGAACATTAATTCTGATATAGGGGATAGTGGTGGCAAAATAAAATACACCTAAATGATGGTAAGTACTTCTTATAATAAGCTACTAAGCTCCATTTACATACAAACATTCTTACATGTGCATCGTTTCAGGACAATTCTGTTAACCAATTAATACTTTAACTCAGTGGTTCCCAAATTGTGCACTGCGGCGTCATGGAATGTAAAGGTTTCATAATTAATTAAACCAGACATTTAGCGTAACAAAAATAAAATAAAGTGAGAAGCTGCAAACATCTAAATATTTTGTGTGGTCTGTTTTTACTTGATCCTATGTAAAACTTAATTTGCCAGCGCAAAATATTCTTGCGAATGCAAACCGGCAACATTGCAATGTATCTCATGACAGACTAACCTGAGAACACGTACAAGACTAAGACTTTCTCAGGATTATTCCATAGAAAGAAACCGTGAAATTTTCCTGATATTCTTGCTAAAGTTAACTAACTCATCATGTCATTTGATACAGGTTTGCATGTGACATTCAGAGGTAATTTTTTTCCCAAAATTAAAGTCAAAATCGATCATTTTCTTTTAAGCTGGATTTCATGCGATTTATGCTTGCTACAGAAATGCCAAGTCAAATCAGCAGCAAAAGTAATAATTTCATTACTGGATTTATTAGAAAAATGCTCCTATAATTTGAAATATTCATGACAATAATCTTAGCGGACAGTATAGTGGTTTTTCAGCTTTTATAAGGTTTTGATATTATACACATATGCCAAAGATGAAGCAGACGCCATAACTATTGCTTTTTTCTCCTGCTCAGTGAGTGAATGCTTTAGTCACTTTTCTCTTCGAGAGTGAGATGAGGTTGCTGGAATTTGCAGTTTTGCCAATGCCAAAAAGGGAATTTTTCCTATTGGTCACTAATGATTGACATATTAGAAAATTTTTAAATAAAAAGCTGAATGCAACATAATCTATTTTTCATTCTCTTCTCTTTGCTTAACAATATTTATATTTCATACCATGATGTTTTCAGTGCGACATCTCAAAGTGGTTGAATTATATTATATTGCAGGATGCAAACATTTTCTACTAGATCCAGTGTTCTTGACCATCAATATAGACATGTCGAGGTGCATAGGCCTTTCTCGACAGATCTTGCAGAAAACATAAAAGCAAGCTTTGCTGCCTAGGTTCAGGCAGTTGGATTATAATTTAAGACTAGTAAAATTAAACTCAGTGCTTCATGTAAATAAACAGTGATATAAATTAGATCATGTAGTTAGTGTTATATAACTTTGTTTGTTTTCTTTGATAATAAGTATAATAAGTCTTGTGATTTTTTGCTGCTGTATCTTTGATGATGGACTGATTTTGGAACAGTAATAAACGGAATAGTGCAGATAAAGTATGTTTTCAACAAGTGGCACGGCTGTCAAGAAACAAAAATATCGTCAATATGATGACACGCTAACAGAAATGAATGCTGAAGAGAAATCACAATTTGTATTGTGTATGACTGGTTGTGGAGTGCATGCTTCTAAGATAACTGAAGTGCCATTTAAAATCTTAATCACCACAGCATGGTTAGCAAACCTTGAGAATTTTTTGCCAGGAAGTTAAAAGAACTGAAACAAAAACATTTCTTTTTAAACTGCATGAATGCATAAATACCATACAGTGCTTTGCTAGCACCTTACAAAGCAGATTACTGAATCACAAAATGTAAGAAATCTATGGCTGCTCATGGTTGACGAGTCTGCTGGGAAGTTGCTTTTAACAATGCCTTTGTCTAATAACAGAATGCAACATATGGCAGAGAATATATATATATATATATATATATATATATAAAAAATTAAAACAACTGGAATGTAGAATACAGCTAGTGAGGCTACGATTAATCATATGAATGCTCATTTAATAAACTATGTATGGTTTGTAGATGATAATAATATTAAAGACAACCTTCTGTTTTGTAAAAATATTATTGCAGGAACAAAGGCTCCAGGACCTGTTCCGAGATTCTTGATACGTTCATATCTAAAAATAATTTGAATTGGCCTAAGTGCATTGGTATCAGTATTCATGGAGCTTGCTCCATGTCTAGCAGCTATGAAGGATTATATGTACTTATTTGAAGCTAATTCATGAAATGCACTGTGGACTCATTGCATTACTTACAGAGATGTGTTTTCATTCGATTCTTGCAATGTTAGAATGCGTGGTGAATAAGGTAAATTTCATTCACTGAAAGCAAGGTTTTTTTTTTTTTAAAACTGTGAGAATATCGGAGCCGAATACTCATCTTAGTTGTATTATAGCAGTGCACAATGGCTTTCCCGTGGTATATGTTTTAACACATACTTTTTAATTGCTGCAAGAATTTATTTTTCTTAAAGAGGAAGGATACAAAGACTCAGAAGAATTTGCTGATGTTGATGTTTTAATAGAACTGGCATATTTATGCGACATTTCTGAAAAGCTGAATTCTCTTAATCTTTCTCTTCAGGGAGAAAATATGCATTTTTTGAAGTCAATGAAAAAAATATCAGCTTTTACATAAAAAAAAAAAACTCAAATTATGAAGAAATTTGAATGAAAATGCTGGCAAAGATTGTTTTTTTAAATTTTTGTAGCAAATTTTGACGTCAAATGAACTTGATCTTAATATATAAAACATAAGAAATATATTCTTATTAATATTTTTATATAAAAAAACATGTTTAAAAGACACTTAACACATCTGGTTCGAGAAATATTTTCAAAATGGATATTTATGATAGGTTTGCATGGATTCAAGATTCATTTAACATTAGTGTTCTATCCGATTTCACTTCTGAGGAAGAGAATCTTATTGAGTTACCTTGCGACAACAGTTTGAAAGCAAAACTTGCTGCATGCAATCGACAGAATTTTGGATTTCAATAAAAGATGAATACCACATTCTAAGCGATAAGGCTCAGTGAATTTTGATTCCATTTTCAACATATTTATGTGAAGCTTGGTTTTCAGCAGTTGCTGTAATAAAAAGCAAGTATAGAGCAAAAATTAACGTGGAAAAGGAAATGAGGGTGGACATGTCCAGGTTGTCTCCACGACTTAAGAAAATGTGCATTGATTTGCAGGCTCATCACACTGATTATTAATTTAATGTCAGTAAAGCAAAAAAAAGTTAAATAATAAAGATACACAAGTTTTATTTTTTTAATCACTTACACACGATTAGTCATAGTTTTACTTAAGGTAGGGCGACATAGGAAAATTTTAATTGAAAAAAGGTGCCCCAACTCGGAAAAGTTTGGGAACCACTGCTTTAATGCTTCAAAAGTCAAGAAAATTTTATAATTATGGTTCATATAGTTGGTTGACAAGGCTGCATACAAATATTCCTACATACAATGCATACAAATATTCATAGTAAATGAGATTTTAATCTTTTGAGTATTTTCCCATAGAAGCAACTCAAAGATTTTGGAAGTTTGCTGTTTGACTTTGCAATATACATATAAATTTCTCTTCCTTAAAGAAACAAAAATAATATACTTATTTTTTAAACAGTATTTATTACAAAACCAATATGATGCATGTGACATCACATACTTCTTATACATGATGCATACACAACTACACGATCCTTCTCAGGCCAGCTGGAATATACAATGATGCAACTACTTCACAGTAAGCAAAACATAAAAGAGTAAACTATAGTTTGTAAATTCAAATTAAATATTTATATTAATAATTTCATATAATATAAAATTTTTTTAACTCAAATAATATAGAAATTTTATTTTACATTATAAATATGGAAATGACAGAACATTAAATTAAAAATAAAAATAACAGATACATTTCAATGACCAATAACTGATAAAATAACCTAAATACTATAAAGTATATTATTTATTTCAAATAACAATTATCAATAAATTTTATTTTATTGCTGCTGTGTATTAATGAAGGAAGTTCAAAAGCAAATATATTTAACTTTTTTTAATAAAAAATGCCATTAGCATATTAACTCAACATATAGCATATTTCAAAAACCTAGATTTCCAAAATATTTCCCCTATTTATAAAATGATGACTTCTATTTAATGAAAATAGACTCAAATTGCACAGTTTTTTTTAAAAATAAATTTTTGCAATAAAAAATTTAAAAAAGATGTGGGAATATAGATGTAAATAATTTCAACAGGTAAGCTTAATTAAAATGACAGTCACTGTAAATCTTTTTAGTTACAAGTTTACATAAATTAATTTTCTAAATAAATCAAGATTACACTTCATTGCTAAATAAGAAATTGTACACGATGCTATGCTCAAACAAATTTCCTGTAACTACTTTTAAATGATACAATATACAAACTAAGCTTATGTGACTTCATAAATAAAACATAATTGTATATATTTGAAAATAAATCTACTTAACATTTAAAAAATGGCAAATTCACAGAACCCAGTTCTTTTACTATTTCTAAACAAACTATGAATTAAAAGAATTTGAAATACATAAAACACATTTCTTTCTGAAATAAAAACAACATATGCATAACAACACTTGTTATGTATTTTTAAATGACACTTGTTAATGTAAAAGATCTAGATGATTCATAACAAAACTAACAACACAAAATCTGAATATCTATTGAATATCTATCTGTATAACTTATAAATAGGAACAGAATTTTCATGTAGATTTGAAATAAATAACAACTTTCAAAAGAAACTGAAATTCAAAATAAGATGGATGAAAATTTAAAATGCAGATATGGGGGAGGAAGGAAAAAACTGCACCAATAAACAATAATATACACAATCTTTTTTTTTAATTAAGGAAAGTATTTTGCAGCAAGACTTAATGGTTAAAGAAATCAAATTTTAATTTACATTTCACACTTACATGAAAGTGCTAAAAACAATCATTCAGAGAAATAAATAAAATGTGACATTATTAACAGCCACACAGCACATTCTAGCAGAGCAGCTCACAAGTTATAAAACATTCGTCACTTTGGTCAATACAAATGACATCACACAAAATGCATGAAGATGGAAGTCTTCACAACTCTTTCAAAAAACGAAAATTTTTAACAAAGCTCATTCAGAATAAGGCACATTTAGCTCATAATGCCAGACATGAAAGAGAACAGTTAAATTATTAAAAGCATGGCAGTAAACATCATATTTATTCAACATAAAAAAAAATTAATCATCCCAGAAGATTTGTGTATCAAATATGGGCCTTTTAAATGAATCACAACATTATACATCTTAATGAAGTTGCCATGTCTAAAGAAGTAATAATAACTGGCAAACTTCATTAATATCTTAATGAATACATCCCAAACTCTGAATTGAATGCCAAACGAAAAAATGGGAGAGTAATAATAACTGGCAAACTTCATTAATATCTTAATGAATACATCCCAAACTCTGAATTGAATGCCAAACGAAAAAATGGGAGAGTAATAATAACTGGCAAATTTCATTAATATCTTAATGAATACATCCCAAACTCTGAATTGAATGCCAAACGAAAAAATGGGAGAATAATGTTTTCACAAAAAGTTTCAATTTTATGTGTATCTTTTATTTTTAATCTTTCCAAGTCTGAATAATTTTGATAAATCTTTCTAAAATCTCAAAATTGACTTTTCTAATTTTAATTGTTTTAAAAAATGATCATATTAAATTTCCTAAAAATGATTAATTTCCCAAAGGAATATTATACCATAATGTTATGTCCATTAACTCAGGAAATAAATTAGAATTAGCAGAAGAATAAATTTACATAATTTTCATGCAAATGTATTTTAATACAGAAAACAGCTGATTGATAGTAAAAATATTTTACGATTTAATGAATCTATATAAAATGGTGAGAAATTAAAATTTATATTTGCATGTTTGTTTAAATTTTCATCCTCTATTGTTATAAAATTACATAAGCAAAACGGGTTAAAATAAGAATGGGCAGACAACATGCAGATTATTCTTTACTTACGGACTGCACTTGAACTATTATAAAAGTGCTTTTCACAGTAGTAGTAACAATCCCTTAACTTCAAACTGAAGCAAAACTTGATTTCAAATAAACTTGATGTTTTAAAATACAAAAGTTACTGTTACTTAAAATAAAGAGAAGTGTCAAAATATGTACTGCAAAAATTTTGAAAATAAAACACTGTGTACTCACATTTAATCTAGAATTTTTTACAGCTGAGTTGTTTAATTTCTTACATTCAAATATACCATAGCTTTTAAAATTAGCAATCAAGAGGAAAAGGGATATTTATCAACACATCATTTAGGTACAACCGGATTAGGTCACCAAATGTGTAAGATTTTAAGAAATGGAAGAAAATTAAGCATTTTTCCAAAAATGTGAAACCAAAGAAGTTGCAGAAGATTTTGAAAAGTCCTGGGAGTACAGAATTAGATAATGAAATAGGTTAAATTTAGACATAATAAAGGAAGAAGGAGATATTTAATGAACAAAATCTTGCACGAAATCTTTTCTGCTTCAAATTTGTTCCATCTCTTGATATTACAATATTTAGAATGATCTGTCATGCCTAGTTATATGTTTATTGTTATACAATAGGGCTCTGTCTACTAGGACTCAGTAAGCCCATGGGTTGATTCTATTTTTCATAATTTTTTGTAATTTGATTGTGGCTATGTCCTAAGGCTGACAGATTTAAAAAGTACAACTAGGTAAATATTAAGAGAATATGCTATTAAAACTTGTATTGAAACAGAAGTCAGTTATGTTCTCATGCAAACAAAATTAACTTATAACACATATAATTATAATAATCATGATTTGAAACTATTCTGAAACTGCAATCAGACAATATGTATTTTTAATAGCTATCCAGGATGGACAAATGCATTGTTACATGAAACTGGAAACTTTTGTAATTTGCACCATCAGAACTGTATATTAGAAATAATTAAATGTCCAATGTCATACATAGGAATTCAAAATTACAATTTCTTAACACTGATAATTTAATTTTTTCCATTAAAATTATCCAATTAACAATTATTGCAACTATGATTTTGCATTTTTTAATTCTATGTTTATTAAAATATAAATGAAATTACTATAATACTGTGGCTATGAAATTTGCATAGCTTATGCCTCATATAGTGAATTTCTTCTTCAAAATTATTTCTTGTAAGTCATATCCATTTGCAAATGCTTCCAATTTATTTCATACACAAGGAAAAGGTGTATATGTGTACTTGGATAAGCATAATTTCCACATAATCAAATGAAATTTTAAGTATGTTTTTCCCATACATATGAAATGCATATTTTTAAATCACAGCATTTAAACACAGCAAGGGAAAAAAGTGGGAGAAGGGGAAAAATCTATATTGCAACAACCTACAAAATGTTGAAGTGTTCATATTTACAAGTCAAATGGTTAGATCATATTATGCAAGTATTAATCATCAAAAGTAGAAGACAAATTTCATGTAAAAAGAACTACTACCTACAGAAATACAATAAAAATGTGAAAAGGAAGAAGATCTCACAATTTCATTTCAGTTATGTATTCATAAAAAGTATGCCACAGCTTCAAGCAATTTTGAATTACTAAAAATTTAAACTCAGGTTAAATAAAACAAAATATTTCTACTCTGAACTAGCTTATCATATCTTAACATTTATCAAATTCATTCCTTCATTTACAAAATCTGTGTGAAAATTCTATGCTTATTATAAGTAATACACATGTCAGACACAGTCTAAATGTGCCTTAACTGTACATGTAAAATTAAAGCTTTCAAATGGAGAGCTGAATGCTTGATGTTAACGCTCAATAAAAATGCCAGCAGATGAAAAGTTATTGAAAAACCCGTGAGAATATATCAAAGCATGGTTTTATTATTAGAGACATTATTTACAAAACAAATTCAAACCTACATTTTTGAGACCATTGTTTAGTATGAAACAGTCAAGCCTTTGCAAAAGCAATGACTACGAAATGCTTTCATGCATACAGAGTGGTTGAGCGATTATTTCGAAAATTGTATTTTCCAGGTGATTTATTAGCCCAAAAAGATATGGGTTTTCTGCCTGTTTTTCTGCTGCAATGGAAAGGCATAACACCATTCAACAGCCAAAGCACAGGAAGGCAAAAAGTTGCCATTAGAATAAAATTTCTTCAGTCCACCATAGTTTAACTTTTTGAAGTTCTAATAACTAAACTCTCATGAGCAAAAGTGTAATCAATCAGATTAAGGTACATTAATAAACTAATAATGAATTACTAATCATCTTCAAAGGAGTTGCATCTGTTTTTTTATGCACATTATACAAACAGACATGATTGTGATGTACTATTCGACAAAATTGAGTACAACTTTTGATTTTATTTTCTTATTTCATCACAGCTTTTCAGTTTCTTTTCTCCAATAGTAGACTGAGGATTCCTAAACACACACGTCTCCACAACAATTTGCATTCAAATTTCACAGAATGCAATCAGACAATTTTGCTAATAAATATTTCACTTCAGCATAATATCCTAGTTTTTGTAAATTGTCACTAAGTTTTTAATGAACATTAGCAGTAAAGCACAACTATATGCAAATCTAAGATGGATAGAAGGCATGTACAGTGCTCAAAATAATTGCTCATAGAAAAGACAACACAAAACAAACTACACATATGACAAAAAATTTGATTCATGGTTGAAAAAGTAAGCACATCATGTGCCTCCCACTTGTAACTACCTGTTTAAAAAAAAATGCTCAACAGTTTCTTCCATTAGAAATGTTATAATGATAACAGTATAGTCTAATTTCACACTCGTATTTCTTGTGCTTGGAATTTTTTTTGTCCTCTCATGTTCATGATGGCTCTCTTGATTGGAACCCAAATAGCAGTCCGACTTCAAAGCAGCACTGTAGTTGAAGCATGGAGGGTAAGATAGAAGGCCATAGTGTAGAAAAACTGGAAGTCCCAGGTCTTTTGCATAACAGATCGGCAGAGGAGAATGACCCAGGCATTAAAGGTACCACCAGCCACATTGAAACAATTACGTTTCTGAAATATTTCAAAGATTATCATTATGGCAGCACTTTCAAGCTGAAGATATCAGCATCCCAAATGAGACCTCATGATCAGATAATGTGCCATGGGTCCCAGAGCATCCTCCTCAGCATTTGAGGTCTACCAAACAGGTTTGATAGAATAAAGCATTTTCCTAATATTTTTACCATTCAATGCTATTTTAAAGTCACTCTATGCCAAATGTACTTGATTCTTCAACAGCTAGAAGTAATTTTTCATAGAGCATTTCATATGTTGTATAAGGAGGGAGATCCAAACGGTTAAAACAGGTATGTGCCCTATAAAAGGGAGAAATGGTTAATGTTGAGAAAGATAACATATTAATAAAAATATAAAACTGTACAGAATTAATACACAAATTAAAGATAAAAATATATGTAAAATCTCATACATTCTTGTTTTAAAGAAGGATTAAGTTTTCATAGGCATAAAATTCTCTGTCAAATTTAAAACACACCACTGAGAATTTTAAATATAATATAGAAATATGAACATGTACACAAAGAAGAAAATAACATTTTGCGAAACAAAACTAAACTAAGAAACATTTTTGAGTTCTCTGGAAGTGGTTGTCTAAGAGCAGTGATTTTAATACCAATGTTTATTTATGTTCTTCGAGATGCAAGTTATATTTAACCCTTTCAGGATGGGCGTTCCATATATGCATTCCCTAAGAACGTCTCTTACAGCCGAGCATCCCATCCACGCATCACTAGATATTGCGTTCAAAGGATGGGTGATGCGCACTCGCATTTTAAGCTGGAACATTTTTCTGGCATCCTATGTCCATTACTTTAGAAATGAACACAGTTTTAGGTTCCTGACCTTGAGTTTGATATATTCTGCCTGACTTTGGTATTTTACTCATCAACTGTTGCGCAAGTTAAGGGGGGAAGTGTAAACAGAAGAAGGCTCTTTAAATCGCAGCATGCTAATATAAACATTTGTGTGTCTGATTTATATCCAATTCCTTTTTTTATTCTATTTTTCCTCTCTACTATGCACGGTCTTTCAGGGTTACTATGTGGTTCTGTTACGTTTTGCATTGCCTTCAGATATATTTCGGTTTCCTCTCTTTTTATTTCGGAAAACCTCACCTCCAGTCTATTATTGTGGGAAGGCGCTATTTATCAAAGGAAGAATACCCTCGTATGGTTAAAACTATTTACATACACAGATGAGAGTGATGATTCATTTTCTAAAGAGTGCTCTGTGTTTCTCCGTGCTTCGAGATTTACCGCACTCAGCCTTCATTTTAAATTTTGTTACTTCTAACTGTAAATAGTCTTTATTGTGTTGTTTTATTAATTTTAAACTTCATTTATGGATTTTATCAACTAAAACTTTGGAATAATTTGAATAGAGCTTCCAAAAAATATTTTACAAGATAAGCAATTTTTTAACTATATTTTCATGTAAAATAAAGAAAAAAAGGTTATTAAGTGCTAAGTTTAACATATATAAGAGCTCAATAAGAATCTAAAATGATACCAAAAATTCCGATGCTAGAAGTGAAACCTTTTTTTTCCTGATTTTTTTACCCCTGTCCTGAACGGTGACTGCCTTTGATTCCCTTCCGTCCCACACGAGCATCTTAAACAAAGGTGAGCCGTAGCAAAGGGTTAAAGGTGGTGCCACAATAAGGTCAAATAAAATACTAAACTGAGTTAATTTTAAGAAAACTTCGAAAATTACATAGGAAAAAGAATGTATAATTGAGCAACCATTACTAATGACACTTTTCTGATTCAGTACTGAAGGAAGCTACCTTATTCTATTGATCATTCCTTTTAAAAAAAATATTTTACCAAAAGTAAATAAACCCGTATCTGAAACAGAGCATGCTGTTTTAACAGTATCTTTATAACTATGCTGTTTTGATGTAGCACAAATTTACACAACATAACCCATGCTAGCAATTATACATATCTTTGTCGAAGACTTTTTAAGGGGAAATGGCTTGTATTCACGCTGCACATGGGGAAAATCACAGAAACTCCCAGTCTGTTCCCTGAGATTTAACGGCAGGTTGAATTACCAGTGTTAGTGAGTTGGCTGCTTTTGGGCATGCTCCATTTTTTTAAGGATTTAAGGAATTACTATAATCTAATAATGATGCAGCATTTTAATTGGTTTAGTTTTGAATCAAAAATTAGTGTAATACATATAATAAGTAAGCATTTTATGATTCACATTAAGGAAAAAACAAATTAATATGTTAAGCATGTTATAAAAGGTACTTATTTTATGGGCTAATTTTCAATCTTTGTATTTTCAGTCATATGTTCATTTTACTTTTTAGTGATATCTTTTGCTGTCCCAGAACAGGTATTAAAACAATTTAACATTATTAGCATAAAAACTTAAAAATATAAGATTATGAACAGAAATATTACCTGGGCAAACTTGTTGGTTTCCCCCACTTTTCTATGCAAAATCTACGAGGTCCATTACTTCCTCGCAGTGCTGCAAAGCCTTCATATGGAACACTTGATGTGCCAGTAACAAACTGCAAAAGCCTCAGACGCCTTTCATTGTCAAACTTCTCAATAGCAAGCCAAAACCACTGAATGACAGGATGATTGTCATGGTATCCTAGAATTAATTTACAGCGTGAATTTAACAATTTGTAAAATACAGCAAAAACTCAAAAATAAATTATTTTAATAAAGCTATAAACATTTTAAATGATTTATGAATGAATATTTTAAGGGCTTTGTTAATCTGCAAATTAAGGTATACATAAAAGAACTTTTACATGTTAAGGCAAAAAAAGGAAAGGATTGATTCAGATATTCAAGAATTTATTTCTGAGGATCTTAATAACTATTACGCTACATTGGATTAGTTAAAATATTCTTAATGAAGTTTCTGGATTATGCATCTGGACCATTCTAGAATTTTCAATAAATACAAATCAATGTTTTGCTGGAGAAAATAAATGTGATACAAAGCTTTTTTTCCCATCTTTGTTAACCATATGGATTCCCCCACTTTTCTATGCAAAATCTACGAGGTTCATTACTTAATCACAGTGCTGCAAAACCTTCATATTGAACACTTAATGTGACAGTAACAAGCTGCAAAAATCATAGGACACCTTTCATTGTCAAATATATATATGTAATAATTTATAATGAGAAAACTTCCCATATATCATCTCCAGGGAACACAAATTCAATTTAAAAGGATGAACAATTTTTTTTTAGTCAGAATTTAAATTAGCATTTTAAATAGTATTTTAAATCTTCTTGTTTAAATTATAAATATTGAAAAAATTATAAAAATTATAAATATTGAAAAAGTAGCTATTCTCATTGATCGCAGATTAATCAACTTATCAAAGGGATAAACCAATCTACCATCAATTAACAACAACTAAATTAAGAGAGTGTTTCATCTTACTTCGAAGTAAGCATGAAATTATTTGCTAGATTCAAACCATAAGTCACAATTAATACTCAATCCAGATAAAGACATTAGTCCATTTAAGCCAAAAGAATCTCGTTAAACAAAATAGAAAATAATCTTAGAATTTAAGTTTTTCATTAAGAACACAAGTAATTTGAATGAGATGCTTCTTTAGAAGACATATCCCCTATACTTTCATTGTCATATACTCATTTGCTAATACTTTAAATAAAAATTTATAAATATGTACAGTAAGGTATACTATATATAATGTAGCCTGAACTCTCTAATAGATAACGCATATTCTCTGTGAATGTTTTCTGGTCCTCAAACAAGCAATGAAGGGTAAGAGGTAAGCTTGAATCAAAATTCAATTGTATTGCTTAAAAAAAAAAAAAAAAGCTTACCAGAACGGTATTCTGTATTTTTCCTCCAGTCACAGATGTCAATTTCAGCAGTACCAGCAATTACAAGCTCTAATTCACGTGCATCAAACACAGACACTAGACGAGGATCAACCACCTACAAGTAAGATATTTGTTCAAATTTCCGAATTTTCTTGAGAAACTAATAATTATCAGTAATGAAACACAAATAAACATGTTCAAAAAGTATGTATAATACTGAATGTAACAAACACATTTTTATTAAAAAAAAAAAAAAAAGTCAGGAAGTTTTACTGCTTTTTTATGTGTTTAAACTTGAAACGGGTTCACAAAAGCAAATCACCAAACATCAATAATATGTTTAAGACTCAAAAAGTGTGTATTGGGGTGGAAGAGAGTATAATATTTTAGAATAATTTTAAAAATTTACCTCATAAAACCCCTTTACAAGAGATTCTGTTTGTTCAGCCACACCTCGCTCTAATCGCCACTTAACCATCCGCTCTATGTATTCTTTTTTATTCCGCTCTGCAACACCTATGTTTTTCCCATTTGGCTTTAGCTCTTTTTCTACTATTTGACCAGCAACTTCTTCAGTAACAGAGAATGTCAAATCAAGACCCATATCGGAAATATCATTTTCTTTCAGCCATAGTAATGACTGATGAAATTCAGCATCCAAGTATTCCAAATCACTCAAAGAACAAGGCCTGGAAATAAAGGATAAAATATTTATTCTTCTGTCACATAAATTATAAAAATCTTAAAAGAATTAACAATAATTCACACACTAAAATACAACATTTCAAAAAGAGACAAAATACCTCTTATCCACCAAAAGAGAATACAAAAAGATCTTGCATACATTTCCTGATATGAAAAAGATAAAAATTATGCTTTCATGTTCAGCTGTGTTTAATAGGCTTGGCTTATGTGATTATAGCAAAGCATTCACTGGCTATCTGCCTAAGGGGAGGAATGCTTTCGTGAAGGACTTCTTAAAGGCAACTGGCTTGTATACAGGTTACACATGGGGAAAACCATGATACTAAACACCCATGCAGGGCAATAATATGACATGCTAATGATATACCTAGAATCAAAACATATGGTAGTATATATAATTGTAGACTGGAAAACAAAATGCAGGTGAGCTAGATTTATGTTAAATGCTTGTGAAAGAAATAAGTTGTTTAATGTATTAAAAACTTGTTACTTTGGTTTTCTCATGAAAGCACACTAATGCTGTATTTTAATATGATGTGTATTTTCTGATAAGTAGAATGTTAAATTTTATCATTTCATTTTAAAGCATTGAGCAGTAAAGAAATGTTTTAATAGTGTTCTGATTTAAACCTGCGCCTATCGATTTACGTAGTATTTGCGTTGGCCATGTGGTTGCCAATGAAAGTAGCTGTCATGAAAATGAAAGTTAATTAGAGGTGTTTATATTTATTGGTGCCACTCTGGTTTTTCGTTGTCTGGCTGTACTGGATAAAAAGAATTTGTTATTAATTTTTTATACGAAATATTCAGTAAGGATGCTTAATCGTTTTATGTTTTAATGGAAATAAATTCAAAATGATTAATGCTTTTATTAACCTTTTATTTTCATTTGCCTAATTTTGTAAGAAAGAAAAAAAGTTAGTGTTTTTATATCTCTGATATATTTTTCTGTGTATTATTTGTAAATAACTATTTGAGTTCTTATTTGTTTTGAGCAATTACTTTTGTGAAAATGGCATTTTTAAGGAAAGCTAAGAAAAAGGATCTATTTCTTGTCGCGACAGAACTTGGGGAAATAGCTTTAGAAGATGTGAAAGTGATATATTTAAAACGATTAATAACGAATAGTAAAAATGAGGAAGAATTTAAAAATTTGTTAGAAAGTATTATGACTGATAGGATAGGAAAAGGAAAAACTTAGAGAAAGCAAACAAGAGCGAAAGAATTACAGTTAAAACAGGAAGCTAGGGAGAGGAAATTTCAGATATTTACAACAAAATAAAAGAAACTGAAAAGCAACAGTTAGAACTAGAAAGCCTTAAAGCAAAACAGAACATTCAATCTGCTAAACCTGGAGGTGAAACTGTATTTAATCAGATTTTCAGAAACTTAATTTGAAAACTGATGATATCAGTTTATTCTTAGAACTTTTTGAGAGGCAAGCTAAAGTTCTAAAATTGCCACGGATCAATGGGTGTCATATCTCATTGATGTCCTTCCGGTTGAGGTAAATAATATAATTGCAAGGGAGCCTGAAGAACAGGCTAGAAGTTACCAACATCTTAAAGAATTACTACTTAAAAGATTTAAGTTAAGTGCGGAGAAGTTTCGGCAACTTCTTGTTAAGACTAAAAAAAATCCCGATTCTACGTGGTACGATTTTTATCACGAAATAAAGACATTTTTAATGGATGGCTTAAGGGATTAAAAATCGAAACATTTGAGCAACTGTTTAATGTTGGTAGATCAGATTAAAAGGCGCATGCCTAACGAGTTTAAGGAACATTTTATAGATGAATGGGCCACGATCACTTCACCAAAACAGTTGGTGGGTAAAATAGACGAATTTGAAGATGCAAAAAAGACGATGGTTGGGAAAACGAAATTGGGTGAACTGAAAACGAAAACATCAGGTAGGCAAATGGGTGCTTTTCAGTCCACTGGTAACGTTTTCAAAAACAGAAAAACCTCTCAAGGCACACAATTTAAAAAAAAAAGATGATGATGCACACAATGTTGGGAAAAAGTCGGACTCGAATTTTGATAGGAGAAAAAGACTCCAGTGCTATGAATGTGGATCTTTTGACCATTTACGTCCTCAGTGCCCTAATTTAAAAACTCAAAAGGCAGATTTGTATCGGATAAGCGGGAGATCAGAGAAGAATTTGTTAGATCCCTATACATTACATGGAAAAGTAAATGGTTTTGAAGTACCTATTCTAAGAGATACGGGAGCAACGGTAGATATTATTTGTTAGAAATATGTAGACAGAGATCGAATGAAGGGAGAACACGTGTGGGTTCGACATTTGCTGGATGATCATATGACTTGTTTACCTGCTGCTGAAGTAGATATTGAATGCGATTTGGGTACGGTAACCACAAAGCAGCTATTATAGGAGACCATTTAGACCAAGGACGATATATATTAAGCAACCAGACAGCGGCTCTTCTCAGAGGAATTGAGAAAAATTATTCGTCGTATGTCGGGAATGTAAATGCGGTCGTTACTCAATCTCAAGCACAACAATTTAAGGAAGCGGAAAATTTAAGTGAGACGAATCAAAATTCTGAGCAGAATGAGAAGAGGAGAATGATGCTCATGAGAAGTCTGAAAACAGAGAGATATTGCCTTCTGTCGACCTTTGTGCCCCCACAAGTCCTGTGATTCTAATAGACTCAAGTACTTTTATTGATGAAGAACAAAAAAGTAAAGAACTTGCCCCTTTATTAGAACTAGTAAAAAGCGGAAGTAAGAAAAGTTATGGGATTAGAAATGGAGTTTTAGTAAAAAAGTAAATAAGTTAGGAGGAGAAGAACATTTGATTGTTGTTCCAGAAAACCTGAGAGCAAATTAATGCAATTTGTCATGAAGGAACTTCAGATCACTTAGGAGTTCTGAAAACAAAAGACCAGTTACTAAGACATTTTTTCTGGCCAAATTGTTATAAAGACATTGAGGAATTCGTTAAAACATGTGACTCTTGTCAACGTGTAGGAAAAGCAAGTGACAAAAAGAAAGCACTGTTGGTAATAGTACCTGTGATATCTGAAGTCTTTAGTAAGGTTAATGTAGATGCTTGCGGCCTATGCCTACATCTACTGAAGGTAATAAATATCTTATTACAGTTATGTGCTTAGCATCTAAATATCCTGACGTCGTTCCGGATCCCGGATATAACGTCGAAATCTGTTGTAAGTGCACTCTTGCAGGTATTTAGTCGGATGGGCTTTTCCAAGGGAGGTTCAAACTGATCAAGGAAAATCTTTTATGAGTCGCTTAATCGTTGAATTTTTTAAGAGGTTTGGTATAAAAATTTCCAGACTTTCGGTCTACCACCCCCAGAGCAATCCTTTGTAACGGTTCCATAGGTCAATAAAAAGGGTCTTAAAGGTATTATGTATTGAAACTGCCCCAAATTGGGAAATACAAGTACCTGCCGCTCTCTTTGCTCTTCGGAAAGTAACTCATGATAATACAGAATTTAGTCCAGCTGAATTAGTGTATGGGACCAACCTCAGAACACCTGTCGCATTATTGTATGAGAAATGGTTAGATCCTCAGGAAAAAGAAGATACCGTAATAGAATATGTTTTCAAATTAATCAATAGGTTAAAGAAAAGTAGAGAATTCGCTACAGAGAAAATGGAAGAGGTGAGAGACAAAAGGAAGAAATAGTATGACAAAAATGCCGTGAAAAGGGAATTCCAATAAGGAAATTCTGTATTAGTGAACCAAGCCCATAAACTCGCTCCTCAAAGGAAAGGGCCAGGAAAAATAAAGAAAAGATTATCAGAAACAAATACGTGGTTAGTTTTGAAGGGAATCAGGAAGGGAATAAAGTGTATCACATCAATATGTTAAAACCTTATCATAAGAGACCTGAACTTTTGAATATGGTGCTCCTTGACAATGAGGAGATAGTTGAACTCTCGGAATTAGAGGAGGATTTTCCTTATATGTTAACTGACCCCAATGTGTTTAATTTGAATGAAATAATAGCAAACGATAATCTTAAAGAAAGACTTAGTGATGAACAAATCCTGCAGTTGGGAAAGTTGTTGGTAAAGTTTTCTGCTAGATTTTCGAATATTCCATGGAAAGCAAATCTAGTTGAACATGATATTGAACTAATCAGTGACTAACGCGTACAGCATAAGCCTTATAAAATGACAAATCGACAGAAGGAAATTCTTAAAGTCGAGATTGAAAAAATGTTAAAATACAAGATTATTGAATCAGGACCCTCTGAGTATACTTCACCCATGATGCTTGTTGAAGCACCAGGTAGGGATCCAAGGCCATGTACTGATTACAGAAAGTTAAACAAAATAACGCATACCAAGTTCTATCCAATCCCCAATATAGAGCAATGTACGGAAACGGTTGCAGCAGCCAAATTTATCACCTTGACAGACTTAACTAAAGGTTATTGACAAATTCCACTGACCCCTAAGGCACAGAAAATTGCTACAAATTTTGGTGTATATAGGCCTTTGCGCATGCCATTTGGGCTTAAAAATGCTCCTTATTATTTCAGTAAAATGATGAGCGAAATATTGTGCGGATGTGAGAAATATGCTATCCCTTATTTAGATGATATTGCTATTTTTTCTGAAATGTGGGAGGAACATTTACATGAAATTTTAGAAAGACTAAGAAAAGCCAATTTAACTATTAAACCCTCTAAGTGCAAGTTTGCACAAGAAGAAGTGCAATATCTCGGTCACATAGTAGGTCGAGGAAAACGTTCTCCAGCAGCAGAACTAAAATAGAAGCGGTTCAAAACTTTCCTGTTCCCACAACTAAAACTGAGATTAGAGCTTTCTTAGGGTTAGTTGGATACTACAGACAATATATACCTATGTTTTCTGCTATAGCCGCACCTTTGACAGATTTGTTAAAAGGGAATAACAAAAGGGGTAAAATTGTTTGGAATGATGATGATGTAATGAATCATTCAAATTGTTAAAAAGAAAAAGCTATCTAGTAGGCCTGTGCTACATGCACCCGATTTTTTCTAAAACCATTTATACTACAGACAGAGACGCATCAGATCAAGGATATGGTGTTGTTTTAGCCCAGAAAGGATAATAAAGGGAAAGAACATCCCATATTGTATCCTCAGTAAAAAATTTACAGATAGTGAGCGGAAGTATTCCACCACTGAAAAAAGAGTGTGCCGCAATTCTGTATGGAATAAAAAAACTGAAAAGGGTATATAGATGGGCAGACTAAATTTTCCATTCAAACGGACCATAATCCCCTAATATGGCTAAAAAAATAATGCAGGTAGAAATGGTCAATTGATTGTTACGCTGGGCCTTAGCCTTAGCAATCTTATAATTTTACGATACATCATAAAAAAAGGAAGTGACAACTTAAATGTAAGACTACTTAAGTAGAAACTCTGTACATGCCAGTTAAATAGACTAGTTATCATTTCTTTAAATTTCTTGTTATTTGATTATATATATTGTATTTTTTAAAAAAATTTCATACTATATAGTAAATTGTTAGCTTTATACATAAAGACAAAATTTTTGTGTTGGTTTTTCATACATTGTATATGTATTCTTTTATGATGGCTTGGTTATGAGAGTGGAGAGCCTTTGTAACAGCATGGTTTTAAAATTAACTGGTAAAATGTTGAACAATCTTTATTGAAACCAGAAACTGTGAAGGTTTACTTCTCCTGTGTCCAGAGAAACAAAAACTGGAGGCGGAAGGCATTTGTTTGTAGCGAATGCCTGCCTGAACTTTTATTTTATCCGGTAGGAACTTAAAAAAGTTTCGTTTTCTCTGTGTCTGAGGAAAACAAAATCTGGAGGCAGAAGAAGTCAGTTTATAAAGAACGCTCCTGAACTCTCGACTAGAGAGAACTCCTCACACTACGAGGACTATAATTCATTTTTATACCTATTTTAAAGAACTGTGAGTGGCAACGATGTAACTGAGTAATATGCATGCATAAAGAAAAGAGACTTCTGGTCGGACGCCTGTCGAGGAGAGAGTTTTTGGGAAGCTCCGCCAGCGAGCTGAGGTGTGGAGACTTTATTCATCATGTGATGACGAGTGCCATCTTCGTTAATATCTCTGATCGTATCACCAGCTTGGATATCTACTAAAGTTTTCTAAATGTATGAATTAAATGTTGTATCTGTGGTATGTGCTGTGAATAAAAAGTAATACATCACCAATACCAGTGTTAATTCCTTTACCACTGAAGCATCCACGATGTCACACTATTTTATATTAATAACATTTAGATTGGAAAACCAATTCTGAATCTAAAGTTTAATTCATAACTTGTGTGACTAACAATTTGCCTATAACCAAATAAAAAGACAACACATTTTTTGAATTCTATATTTTATAAGAAAAATTAATGTAATAGTAAAAATCTGTATTTCATTGAACAATACATTTTCCCATGGAACTTATTTACACAGAAATTATACAAAGTTTATTTAAAATAGATACAATTTTTTCCCAGGCATGTCTGAAATTTAAAACACACACTTTTCCTTAAAAGCAACTAAATCCCTTACAAAGCACCTTTCTGAATATGATTTTTTTCACTATAACAAAAACAATGGGAAATAGAGATATGTGATGCCTCGGAAGAAGAAGAACATGTAACTATCATGACAAAAAGCAATGTTTCAAAACATGGAGAGAAGTCTGTAACTTAAATGACTATAATGAAACATTCATTTTTTTAATAAAAAAATCTCAAGCAACAGCATTTTTTTCTATTTATTATATAATAAATTACACACATTTTTATGAAAAAATGATTAACTCCTGACAAAATATGTTACTTTGTGATGACTTTCTGTAAAATTTCCCCCTTCTTAAAAAGAAATATATATATTTTTTAAAATTTAAAAACATTAACTCACTTCATCTTAACACTTAAATAAGTAATTAAAACAACATAAAAATTCAAACAATTAAAAAAATATACATACAATCTTAATAGAGCTTTGTAGAAGGGTCGTGTAAAAAAAGCATCCAGAAGGTACTGATGAACAAGTGCAAGACCTAAAACTCGGCCACTGAAACGAAACCACTCATGTTGGTTGTCGACAAAAGCTGACATTGGGCTGACTTGCACTGTGTATGTATCATTAGCAGAATATTCAAAAAGGCCATAATACGGGTTGAACAACTCCCGGGATAAAAGGAAAAAGAATTCACGTGAAGGACCACCATAATCTAACCTATGAAATTTATAATATAAATCTTAGTAGAAATAACAAAAACATAAGCGGAGTAAATGACAATCCTTATTTAATATGGGTGATCATAATTAAACAAAAGAAGTTCAGAGTACTATGTATGGTGCAGGGCCAATGAATGACTTACTCTAACTGGAATAAAAAACACATGAATATTCAATTTAAAAAGTAAATTTAAGATTCCAATTTTAGGATTATATTTGCTACTTCTTCCTTATTTTGCATATTACAAGCTGCATATCAAATTATTAATCTTCCAAAGGTGAAGATTCACACAGCTTACTTTACCTGATTGCACATTACATATCTTCTAGCAAAGAATTTCATAAATTGAAAACATGAATTTCAGTTATTTAGTTCCTCCTTTTTAGAGAGAGAAATTTTGTAAAAGATAATTGTTTTTTCATTAAAAAAAATTAACTCATTTCATCTTAACATATAAACAATACATTCCTACAACACTAAAAATTCAAACAATGAAAAAAGCTACACATTTAATCTTAACAAAGCATGAATATTTAATTAAAGAAAGTAGACTTAAAATTCTACCTTTAGGATTAAATTTTGTTACATTTTCCTTAATTTGCATATTGCATACTGTCAACAAATCTTGAGATGATTTTAATTAATCTTTCAAAAGTGAAGATTCACAAAGCTTATTTCACCTAATTGCACATTATGTATCTTCTAAGCAATGAATTTTCAGTTACACAGTTCACTGTGAAATTAGAAAAGGGCTAAATCATCAAACTTCTGAACATAGAAGTTGCAACTGCAGTAATGGAATATAGAACAAAAAATTTCATAGCAACAATAGTGCACATGCAATATCATGACAACCTAATATGTATACATAACAATGTAAAATTTTATGACATCTTGCATTTTCTACCTTATGAAATCTTCCCTAAAACAAAAATTAACTTCTGATGATATAAATAAATTATAACTGTTAGTCATGGATCAGATGATGGTTGACAATAAGTGGCAAATATAGTAATGAACCTTCTTTTCACTTGAATGCACTTGTGACTGCTATAACTGGCTTACACATTCACTAATAAAGTATAACACAAAATTTAAAAGTAATGGTCTGATTAATCAGTACCAATTTCAATCTAAAAATCGTTTTTATTTTTAAGCTTTATTTCTGGAATAGAAAAAAGTCTGCTGAAGATAGTAGTGTGGTAGCTCTTCTACAGGCCAGAAACTGTTTCAGGATAAAGGTGGAATGTGGACAGGCATTATCGGAGGGAAAGATCCAAAAGCCTTCTTTGGCAATTCTTTGATGTGCATGAAAGCTCTTTTGTAACAAGTTTTCCAGAACATCCTAGTACTAAGTATTCATTGCCGCTCTTTCCAGTTAACATCTTTTTAACCTTTTCAATGTTTTTGTTACTACTGTCATGACTATGTCATGACTTTCACAGATTTACCAAGCTTGAAAGAATTTTAAATTCATCTGCTGCTTCATTTTACAGCCACTGCTACATAATTGCATTGCAGTGTTATAAACAGAAACCATAATGCTTATAACTATGCCATGTTCAAACATGTTACAGAGTACCTTTTCCACATTTTTCCATTTGCCCATGACCATACCTGAACATCTTAAGATATCATCCACCAAACCTAATTGCCATTCTTTGTATATTATCTTGTAATTTAAAACATTTTGCTTTCTTATCTTCTTTCATGGTCTTGATACCATTCCAATGAACAGAAAGTTCCAAAAACAAAAAAGTTAAATAAATAATTACACAAATCAAGTTATTAAATGTCTTAGTGGATATGTTACTGTAAAAGCCTGAAGTCTGGTAAATCCTAGGTTTTTTACCGGTAAACGCAGCTTTTACCAAAGTGGCTTGGTAAAAGTCCGAAGTATGCTTTAATAGGATTCCATTTCGGACTTTTACCAAGCCTTTGTGGTAGGAATTATCAGCGCCTTCCAGTAAAAGCCCGAAACGAGGGATTTAAATTGACTCTGAATAAACCTGAGCACACAAATTTCGTCACAACACTTTTCTGCTTCTGCTACTTCTTATTTGCATCATTTGCAAGCACAGAGTTTGTACACATTTCTGCACATGGAAATTAAGGACTTTTAAGGACAATTAATGAAAAAAATTAAGGACCTATGAGCAAATGGGAACTCAATAAATTCAATTGAAGATATGATGTATGCCTGAATTTTGCTTTTGTAATACCATCCTAAAAATAAAATAGATCCCTAAGTAGTATGCATTATTACTAAACATGAATTAATTAACATAATTGTTAATAAGTTTGAGAATAAAATAAACTTTATGCAATTTATCAAGTAGCATTAAATATTTTACACTTATAACAGTTGGTCATATTTGAAAGAAGATACGTGACATTTACGTTTTACTAACAGTTAGCTTTATGTTGATTTTTTTTTATGTCTCATTTTATCACATACTTGGTCAGTCTAGAGGTTTAGTAAATAAGCAAATAGATTTTATGTCAAATAGTTTCGCGTATAGTTAGTTCCAGGGGTTGTAACCCAGTTAATATACTTTAAGGCTCCAATAAGCCATTAAAGCACCAGAGGTGATAAGTTGTTTTGTATTATTTTAAGTCTCAGTAGATGCACAGAATATGTTTTACGTGAATTTTTACGTTTTTATATTTTATCTTGTGACTACAGTGAGTATTAATGAAAGGCAATAATTAATGAAAAGCAGTACAGTCTTGCTTTAATATGTAGAAATAATTTTTAAGGGTAAGCAATTACCCTTAAAAATAATTAAATGAGGTAGTTTGATAACCTTAATCATTATAGATTTACATGATCACTATTAAATTTTATTTTTCAACAATATTTGTTAAAAAAAGCCCTATTAAAAACAAAATCTAATAAAGTTTCACAGTTTAAAATACATGTAATTTATGACACAGATTCTTAAACGATATTAAGATAATGATACATTAAAAGCTACAAAACATTTATGTTTTGTAACAACAACAATCAACAAAATATTTATCCGTCATTTTAATTTCGTTTGCAGACATTTTGGCTAGTTTATATCGATTTCCTTCTCTTTTAAGCATCTTTTCTAACAATTAGAGATTTGTCTCAATATGCAAACCAATGCTCTCGCTAGTTTCTGCATGCTTTATATCCTAACTTGTCAGCCTCTTCACAATGTACCTAAGGGGGTTTAATTGATCTAGTAAAAGTTAAGTAGTCCAAAACCCCCTGATAGACGTGAAGTATATTATCGCTATGTCTGAAATTAACTACAATATCAGATAAAGGTTTAAATAAGCCTTTTATTTAAAAAGAACTTAGAACATAAAGGCATGTTTTGATGCTAACAAAATCAATTACAGCTCATGGTTGTTGGCTTTAGTTTTCCACATGCAAATTTTGATCGGAGGTAAGCTAACGTGGTTGCCGCTGATTGGCCGATGACGTCAAGATCGGCGGGTTGGCCGAATATAATATATATGTACGCCGGTATCGGCGAAGCTTTGGTGTTCTTGTTCTCTTGTGTCATTATGAGTTAGCATAATGCTAGTTCAAATATTCCTCAAAATGCTAATTCACACTCAAAATGACAGCGGTAAAAACAGACAGAAATTCCAGATGATTAAAATTAAGGACCTTTTGCTGATTTTGGCCAAAATTAAGGACTTTAAAGGACCAAAAATCAATTCCAAAAAATCTAAGGACTTTTAAGGACTCTTAAGGACCGTATGAACCTTGAAGGAAGAAGTTTTACAACATTTTGTCTGAAGCTGTAAAAAATAAGCATGATAACAGCTTTTATTTAACAAATGAGAAATAAACTTCCTTAATAAGTGAAGTGAAAGAAGCAAAATTTGTGAATTAAAAACATTCAGTTCCTTACAAAAGGTCGAAATGCTGATATTCTAAATACTGGAGGAGAAACTTTTAGCACCACTATCTGCAGAAAAAGCAAAAATCCTGTATTATGTTACAATTGATGAAATCTTCAACAAGAACCCGTATGATTAAGGAACTGAATCTCGAGTATAAAATGTAATAGTAGGATCTATCATCACGTATTGGAGACTATGTGAAACATGTCGGGGGGGGGGGAAAGGTAGACCGTAATCAAACCAGTTGTGCACAGCGAAATGAAATCGTGAAATCCAAGTCGACCTATTAGATATGCAGTCCAATTCAGAACGTTATATGAAATTCATTTTAGTGTATAAAGATCATCTTACAAAATTCATCCTACTCTAAAGTCTGCATACTAAAAGAGCCGATGATGTTAACATATCACCTTCTGGATATTTTCACAACTTTTGAAGCCCCGAGGATTTTCCATTCTGACAATGGGAGGAAATTTTACAACCAAATCATAAACAGTTTTTGTGAAATGTGGAATGATAATAAAAAAAGTTCACAGTAAGCAGAGACGCAGTCAATCGCAAGGTTCTGGCAACAAAATAAGACATAAAAGTGGTAGAAAGGCTTAAAATTTGTTCAAGCGATGGAACAGCATATCACAAGGGAATCAAATGTTCACCTTACAAAGCTATGTTTGGTTGTTCTATGAAGCTGGGACTTGCTAACTCAGTTTTTCCATGTAATTTGATTAGCAACATGGCCACTGAAGAGGATTTTCTTGAAAGACAGTTGGTTTAGAATCACAAGATAATATAATATAATACAGGTGAAAAAAATCATGCATAATGGTGGAAGTAGACCCTGAAGTTCAAATTGGATAAAAACCAGATACAATGTGTGCGATTATCAACAAAGTTCAAAGTGTGAAGGTGTTTCAAAAGACAGCTAAGGAAGGGCTTGAGAAGCAGGCAATAAGACGAAGACTGTGTCTACCAAAAACTTCCGAAACTAGTCTAGGATAAAATGTTAAAATAATAGTACCTCATAGTGACAGATAAAAAATAGATTCAAAATCAGAAATAGCCATTATTACAGACATTAAAGATGATGGGTTTTATGTTCTTGGTATTAAGTTTGGTAAATCAAAATTGCTGTATGCAAGAAACCAGGTTATCTTTTGCAACGAAAATTTTTTCAAAATTGAAGAAAGTTGTAAAGGAGAAATAAGTGATTGTGAAATAGTAAAAAACCTTCTTTTTGGGGACAAGTACTCAGAAAATGCAACTGTTCAAAGAAGTGTATTGTGAAGATGTGTTAGTGCAAATGGGCTAATCTACTTTATAATTCAAAATGCCATAACAGTCAACCTTGTTGTTACAGGTAGTACGAAGTATTAAAGAAAAACATACTACACTTTTCTTATTTTTTAAATTTCCTAATATATTTATTAATTTTTTCTGAGCTATCAATTTAATTTTTTTAACTATTGCCAAAATTATTAAAAAAATTATTGAAATTTCTTCAGTAGTTATCGAGAGAATTGTGCATTAATTCAGCTTTTTTGCATGGGATCTTATTTGTGAAACGGCACAAATATTGCATTTTTAATTTTTATTTCTTGTCAATCTTTGAAAAATAATTGTCAGTTTCATCAACATAATGTTATATCATACCCTATTTTGATCACTTTCACAATTTATATTACCAATTAAAAAGGTAAAGTGTGTTAATTTTTTGGGGGACACTTTGTACAATATATCTGCAAATAGAAAATCTTATCATAAGTAAATCCCTCGTTTCAGGCTTTTACCGGAAGGCGCTAGTAACTCCTAGGTTTTAACTCAAAGGCTTGGTAAAAGTCTGAAATGGAATCATATTAAACCATACTTCGGACTTTTACTGAGCCACTTTGATAAAACCTAGGAGTTACCAAACTTCGGGTTTTACAGTAATAGATACATATAGAATGTTATGTGGCCAGCAGAATTAAATTTCACACAGTCACCCACTTCTAGATCAAATCATCAAAGCCATATGCTCTAGGAAGAACACAAATTTGGTTTAACATAAGATTACAAATTCCAAGTCTAATCTCTTAATAATTCTTCCTAAACAATGGTCTGAATACCTCTTTAAATGTGATCACCTTGCATAACAAATTTAAATGAGTGTACATTAGTTTATGTATTTTAAAAGTAACCGTTTGAGCGCCATGACTAGCTTTATCCAGTCATGAGATTTTTTGTCCCTTGGTATATTTTAGCTTATAATTTAAGATATTTTCATGTTTTACGTTCTTTAATATAAATGTCAGAAAACAGAGACTAAAATAAGTAAATATGCATATTTAGCTAATAAAAGCTGTTTACATACAGGCCTTCATGAAAGTAAAAAATAAATAAATAAATAAATAAATAAATAAAAAAAAAAAAAAACTGCACCACACAGAGGGTTAATTTGAAGGGATTAGCTTTATACTACATACTAGTTATTTAGGTTAGTTAGATTTTATTCAACAAAAGTACGTACGTAATTAACAGTCAGAAAAATGTACTTACCCTTCTTCCCCAGCAAAACTAATATAAAGGCGTGATTTCTGAAGATCCTTTTTTGAAGCAGCCATGATTTTGGTAAATGCATCTTCCAAAAGATGATCTCTCCTAATATTTAATCTACAAAAGGGAAAGAACACAGGATTTTACTTTACATGATGCTGAGAATAATTTCAAATTAAGTAACATATTCCCACAGACAGCAAAAGACACTACAAAGTAACAATCGAGCTATGAATGAATTCTTATTGAAATGCTGATATAAATATATATATATATATAATAAAGCAGAGCTGTGGAGCCAGTAGGGAAAATGACCGATTCTGGAATTTTAAAGACTCCGACTCCCTCATATAATATATATATCTATGCAGAGTTTTTTTTTTTTTTTTTAAATGACGGTACTCAGAGACCTCTGTAACTTGAACTATCAGCCGCAAAGACACGAAATTTTGTACAGGGACTATTGGCAACATGGGAAAAAGGAATCCGCAGAAGAAAAAAAAAAAAAAAAAAAAAAAAAAAAAAGTTCCAAAAGTTGATAATAGGGCAAAATGTGGCGCTTTAAACTTTAAGATAACTAAAATTTTGCATAAAACATGGGAAATTACAAAATGCAAAATCCCGATTACGTAGTCGACACCAGCACCAGTATTTTGAGTTCCATTCAGCTGTAGAGAATATGGTGAACAGAATGCAAGGAAATTGAGGTCATATTGGAAATGGCCAATGTCTTCCCCAGTAAAGCGATTCTAATGAATCTGAATAAAAACAAAAGAACAAAGAATAAAAACGAAGTCGAATAGAATGTTCTCTCTTTTTTTTTTTTATAACATGTAACCAATTGCAGAAGTTATATTTTAGAATATAGCAAATTTGCGGACAAATTAATTCTTTGTTATTCATTTATCTGCTTACTGTAACTTTTTTAAGTGATCAGAAATTTTATCGTGCAGTTAAAATTTAAAGTGTCATATTTCCCCTATCGGCAACTTTTGAAACTAATTATTTATTTATTTATTTTTTTCACAGATTCCTTTCCCCAATGTCGTCAAAACCCCTGTACAAAATTTCGTGGCTTTGCGGCTGATAGTTCAAACTACGGAGGTCTGAGTGCCATCAGTAAAAAAAAAAAAAAAAAAAAAAAATTGTATATATGTTAATGTATACACACGGGTTTACAGCTTATTTTTTTAATATAAAAAAAGTAATAGATGCTACAAAAAATTGATGGCATAGCAAATTATTTATTTTAATTAGCATTTATTATGAAATGGAAAAACTGGCATCAGTTATTTCTAAGAAACAGTATAGCTTCGGCAAGATTTTCTTTGTTGGAGGGCCATAAATTCAATTCAGAGCGGAGAAGAGTCCTTCCACACTAACTTGAGTAGGAGGAAGAGCTGTTACTTGTAGGGCTACTTCTTTTAACTTTTCAGGATAGATTTTTTATACGTTCTAAAAAAAGTGTCTTGCAAGCATAATCATATTTCTCTAGTTCTTCAAAGGCCATGTAATTTTTCTTGTATTTTTGTATTTTATACTAAAGGCACTTGGCTCTTTATTTTCATTCGACTTTTGCCTTAGCCTTTTCAATATTATTCAAAAATATTTCTCAAAATCTAATTCATCTTTGAAAGAGGATGATAGAAACTCAATTGCAATGTCTGTAGTTTGACTGTGCTGATTCGATATTCTCCAATTGTTCTGAGAATAATTTCATTCTTCATGAAAGTTCATAGATGGCTTTCCTTGCCTTTTTAATTGTTCGTCATCCAAGAAAATTCAGTGTTTCGGATCTACATATATTGAACCAGCAAGATCTCATTGTCTAGGCAAACTAGTTTCTTTCTTCATTGAAGAAATGATTCTTCTGCAATCAACCCTCCATTTCGAAAGTACAAATATCACTTCTTCTCCATTCTCACCTCCTGTCAATTCTTCAGATGCAGATTTTTTGTGGCTATAATGGTGTAGAAAAGAGTTTTCCAATTCTGCAAAATCATTCCATAGTTTTCTGTTAGTGAAACAGGGTTATCTACATCTTCTAAAAAGTTCTTAACTTCTAACAACCTCTTTATATCCTTACAATATGTACTTCCTTATCACTTTGCTTATCCATAATTGCTCTTTTCCTGCTCATTCCTAAGATGGCATCATTTTGGTAGTTCTTCCTGCTATTGCTGCTTACCTAATTTACCAGTGAATTGTAAACTAAATGAATCGTTTATACACTAATGGCAAATATCACATCCCATCCTCCTCCCTTATATTTATTATTAAATACGTCAATAAAATAGAAAAAACTATTTTTAATGTATATAGCTCATAAATAAAAATAATAACTCAGTTTGTCATTATTTTTTTTCGATTCATTTTAAATTTTATTTCAAATTCAAACTGTCCAACAAAAAACTGGAGTCGGCGTCGATCTGTTTTTAGCGACTCCAGCTCCGACTCCTTTTACCCCAAAATCTGCCTGACTCCAAGACTCTGACTCCACAGCGCTAATATAAAGAAATGCAAAGCAAATCTTATGCTTAATTTACATATAATTTTTGAACAGAACACAGGTTATCACTGATTTAGAGTGCCTACTGACTCAGCCATTCATTTTGTTTTCTCCCATGTTTATTTATTTATTTTTTTAAGAACATCAAACTATATAAAATTGAAAAATATGCAATCTGAAATTAAAACTAATTTAAAAACTCAAGTGGGAAGCTTCACAGCAGCTTAGGAGAGCAAAACCATACTAAAAATGAAATTTAATTAGAATGACTAAATTTTTATTAAGCAGAAAGTATTTTATGAATTTATTCTTTTCTGAATTAGCAGAATTTTAATTATTCTAAAATTTCAATATGGTGAACTTAATTCTGAAATACAGAGTTCTAAATTAAAGTTTCCCTTTCTAAATTACATGATGGCTTATTGAAGGTTGGCTGTATTGCATTTTCTTGAATCATATTCAAAAGCAAATTTCTCTTGAATTTAAATATTTTGATTTGATAGTTATTTCATTGTTACTACATTGAATATAGTTGCATATGATTTCACAGATTTATAATATTTTCCAAAATTTTGCCCCCGCCCAAAAAAAACTTAATTTTTTTTAAAAGTTTAAAGCAAATACCATGATTTAAATTCCTTAGTGCAAAAGCTATGAAAACTTAAGTTCAAATTAGAATTTTCCATCATAATTCATACATGAAAAAGTATTTCACATAGTTACATTCCTGTAGGATATCATACATGAAAAAGTATTTCACATAGTTACATTCCTATAGGATATCATACATGAAAACGTATTTCACATAGTTACATTCCTGTAGGATATCATACATGAAAACTTATTTCACATAGTTACATTTCTGTATTATAAGCACAAATTTTTCTTTCAATTGTTGTATGTATCATAATGATCCATCATACTGTGCACAATAAGTTGTTGGGTATTTCATCATTGTATATACCATAAATAATTGGGCCCAAAATTAAGATAAGCACAGATTGTATTTTACCTTCAAACAGTTCAACCAATAACATTGTTGTTGAGAACTTCTGGAAATAAAATCAACTTTCCCACAAAAGAATATTTTAACTCATGAAGATCAGAGCACATTCAGTGCATCCTCCTACACACATTCTATACAGGTGAAGTTTAATAAAACACAGTGGCCAATTTATCCAATGAATATCTTTCTTTCCAAAGAAACCACAGACTAGCTCAGTTCTAAGCACTTAATACTACTGTCCATAAAAACAAATAAGATGACACCTGCACTTTAAAAAGTACATATGCACAGAGTGACTGAACAGTAGTCATGCAAGGATCTCACCTGTGTACAGTCACATATCTTTTCACTCATGATATGTAGTAATATGCTGGCCATCCACATGGCAACATTACTTACAACGACAGCATACCAACCTATGACACTAAAAAATCAGAAGATTCTTCTCAACGACAAAAATATTTTTTAAACGATAAAAAAATATTTTTTAATAATGAATTACCTTTAAACAGTTAATTAATATCTGAAAGTTCAATTACTAAGTCTTAAATGCAAACAGTACAAAAATAATTACATGGGGGAGGGGGAACCTATTATTTGCATGTTTAAAAAACATTTTTTTAATCAGTTTTCATACAAATGCTAAGAACAGTGGCAGATTTTTATTTCATTAAAGAAAAAAACTTCATAATTTTATTCACAGCAAATACCACATAGGCCTGCTTTTGTAATAAAAGTTTTTTTATCGTTACTAGTATTAGATCTAAATGAAGTCCTTGCTTTCGCAACAACACTGAAAATCCTCTTTGTACTTTGCATTATTATAGGGAATTTTCAGGATGGCCAACATTATTCTAGATTGTTTATTTTAAAATTCCATCAGCACCATTCAAATTTCTAATTAAACTCCACTGGGTATCGACCTAGCTGGTTTTATAAATATTCCTAGCTGTTATTATTCCAGCTGGTTTTATAACTCAATAAACCTTCTACCAACAATTGGAAAAGTTTTAGAGCAATATCAGGCCGCTTACATCAGCATCTCACAAAAAAACAAGATAAGTGAAAACCAGTTTGGATTCTTACCTAACAAGACTACTACAACGCAACTGACAACACACGGGCTCAAATACAGAAAAACAGAGCTCAAAGTTTACACTCAACATTAATCTGCCTTCATTTGAAAAAGGCATTCGATTTTATGTGGTGGCCTGCAGTTAACCAGGCTCTCAGGGATGCAAAATGCCTAAAAAGTTTATTCATCATATTACAGAATTTTCAACAAAACAGAAAATGCATAATTATTCATAACAATAGAATAACTGAAAGGTACCAAGAAAGAGGTAGTCCTCAAAGTTCATGCCTAAGTGTGGATTTATGGAACTTAACTTTCAATTCCACCACCAACTATATTTGGCCAATCCATTCAAAAGGAATAGCATTTGAGTATGACGCTGCATTTATCATAGCAGGAAGAACCAGAAACCTCTTAGGAAAAAATGCTAACGAAACCCTATGCATCTTCAATTCCCTCTGTAAAAATCTGAAATTAACCATCAGCCAAGAGAATCTAAAGTTGTTATATTTCCAAAGCTCTACCAA